CCCTCATCCAGTCCGTGACAGCGGCCAAGCACCGGTTCATGACCTGAACAGCCTCCTTAGTGACAGGTGGAAGCCGAAGGGAGCTTTTTCAGCCTAAAAAAGGAGCTGAAAAACTAGGCTTATACTCGAGTATATATAGTATTTCTAGGGCAGCTCAGCAAAAGGCAACATTCTCATGTGAGCTACTGTCCAGGAAGCAAGCCACATGCCAGCGACGCCAGACACTGAAAACTCACACTCAGCTCCCATGATCTAGCTGAGGTCCGTACCCCTGCGCCAATCATCATTGCTGCCAACAGAATATCCAAACTGTCTAAAGGTAAAGTTGTAATCCAAATACCAAAGGAAACATGTCACACTGACATTATTATTATTATTATTGTTGTTATTATGTTTATATCCTGCTTTTGCTCTCCACATGGAGCCACCAAGAAGGAAGGCCCACCAACCATGTTTGAGATGGAGGTGGGATTGAGAGAAGGGCTTTCCTGAAGATCAAAGGACCTAGGCAAGTTCGTACAAGGAGATGCTGTAAGCCATTTACTCCAATTGTTAATTATTATTATTATTATTATTATTATTCCATATCTACCCCAGAGAAAGGGTCAGCACATTCGAAGCAGACTATTTATATTCAGCACAAATCCATATGTAACATAGCACAGAAAATGGAAAACAAACAGCCATAAACTCACCATTAAATCCATTATTCAGCAAATCAGTGTACATATCAAAAGCCTTTGCATATGCCATATGCTGCAAGGATTAAAAGAAAATGAATAATGGATATTAGTCTATTGCTCTGGGGAAAGAACAGAAGAGGTGCTATGAAAATGATTCCAACTGTACCTTCACCATCCCTCTGATCATTGTACAGTACGAATGTGCGTTTTTTTCTGGCATTAGGCTAAATATTCTCTCAGCGTTGTTGTTCTCCCTGTTATTTTGAAAACAACATGATTGAAATTAATATACATTTTTACTTGTTTTGTAAAATGTGTAGACAGAAGATGTACTGAAATAAAGTATAAACCGTTTATGGACACACATTATTATGATGTTTATTCATACTCCCCTTTTTCTCAACACGAGTTGTATTAAACATCGCCATGTCCTTAATGTAGCACACGGTTCACATATCACCACATGTAAACCTATTCATTCACTCATAAGCCATAATGTATATGGTTAGCCTCATAACTTAGAGAGAAGGTAAGATTGAACACTGGAGGTAGCCAGTGAAAAAATATGCAAGCACATAGCATTTTTAGCCACTATGATATAAATGTAGTCAATTAAATGTGGACACAAGCATGATTCTGCATCTCCACCACATGTTTTTTTGTGCCACTGTTCAATGTTTATGCTATTTAGATTTATGAGATTTATATTAGTTGCTTTGTATTAGTATTTGTATTTTGCTTCGCATTGTAATTGTTATTGCTTGTATTGATGTATTGTGGGCTCGGCCTCATGTAAGCCGCACCGAGTCCCTTGGGTGATGGTAGCGGGGTATAAATAAAGTATTATTATTATTATTATTATTATTATTATTATTATTATTATGTTGTGAAACACAGTCAGCTATCAAGTCAGTCTCGTAATTTTGTGAAAGTGTGTGACCCTATTTGGCATTATTCCAGAAGTTGCCTTTCATTTTGTTGGAGGCTGATCTACCGTATTTTCCGGTGTATTAGACAACTTTTTAAGCCTAGAAAATCCTTGCTGAACTTGGGGGTCGTCTAGTACGTCAGGTATAAAAAATCACATTCCGATTTGGGCCCAAAACAAGATGGAGGCTCAAAACAGGCGAGGAAGGCGGGTAGCTGCCCTGTGCTGCAGCAGGGCGCCTGAAGCAGCAGTAGCTGCTGCGCTCCTCCACCGCCGCTTAGTGCCCGCTTCCAGGCTTCAGTCCCCCTAAGGGGTTCTTCCACTCCATGCCCACCTCGGCTGTCAGTGTGGTGGAGGAGGAGGCAACAATATACTCGCCGGACAGCTGCATGGCCTCCTCCTCCTCCGCTGCAATGACAGCTGAGGCGGGCATGGAGTGGAGCAGTTTCTCAGGGAGGCTGAAACCCAGCAGTGGGAGCCAAGCAGTGCTGCCTTGAAGTAGATAAGGTCCTCAGAGAGAGAGAGAAGGCAACACGACTGCTTCCAGCCACCGGTGACTTTTGTGTGAGTGCCACCCGATCGTACTCCCCGGCTCAGCCCGGTTCCTGCTCCTCTTCCCCGCTCCCTTCGGCAAAACGGGAGAGTGGCCTGGCTCTGGTACTGGCTGAGCGCCGTTAGGGAGAAAAAGCTGTTTGCCTCCCGGAGGAAGGTGGAGAAGGAACAGTCCGTGGAGGCTGTGTGCGTGTCCTTGAAGCCGGAGGTTCCCTTCTCCCCCCGGTCCGTTGTGTACCTCACTGACATGCGTGAGGTAGCCCTGAAATACAGTAGCTGCGCATCTGTTCTCCCCAGAGCAACTTTTTGGAAGTGGGAGGGGCCCTCACTCCTTTGTCGAGGCCCTGAGGTGCCGCTTGGCTCCCGCTGCCAGGCTTCAGACTCCCCAGGAGGCTCTTCCATTCTATGCCCGCCTTGGCTGTCAGTGCGGCGGAGGAGGCGGCAATATACTCGCCGGAGGGTCGTGTCACCACCTCCTCCGTCGCATGACAACCGAGGCAGGCATGGAATGGAAGAGCCCCTCAATGAGGCTGAAGCCTGGCAGTGGGAGGCAAGTGGTGCAGGGCAGCTGCCCACCTCCCTCGCCTGTTAGGAGCCTCCATCTTGTTTGGATCCGTAACAGGAAGTGATGCTTTGGACCCAAAACAGGAAGCCATAAGCACGGCGGTTGGCTAGTTGCGGCGGAGCCTGGCTGCCGGTGGCGGGGAGGCTGCCTCTATGGAGGCGAGAAGCCACCTCAAAGCTCAGGAAAGGAGGCTTCGGGGTCTGAAGGGGTTGGCAAGAGGGGTGGTCTAATACGGCGAGTATATCCAAAAAACTGAAAATTTAAATTGAAAAGTTGGGGGAGGGGGTCCACTTATGTGCCCAATCATCTAGTATGCCGAAAAATACGGTAATTTATTTCTCCTTGCCCACTGACATTTAGTTTACATGTTTTGCACATTGGAAGTGTACTTGACAATTAAGAAATTTAAGACTGTGGCGCAGCTGTCTGGGTGTCAGCTGCATTAAGATCACTTCTGACCACAAGGTCATGAGTTCGAAGCCAGCCCGGGTTGGAGTGAGCTTTCGACCAATTGTGTAGCTTGTTGTCGACCTTTGCAACCCGAAAGACAGTTGCATCTGTCAAGTAGGAAAATTAGGTACCACCTATGTGTGGGGAGGCTAATTTAACAAAATTTACGAGGCCATAAAAAAGACTCCAGCAAAGCATGCGGGGAATGCGGAAGTATTTCATCAGTGTCGCAGATGGACACATCAGTGTCGCAGATGCGCAGTGTCGCAGATGGCCGCTAAGGGAGAAGGCTCCCTTGGCGGCCAGAAAAAAGTTAAATAGTCTCTGACTGTTTGTCTCTATCTGTTGTATGTCTTTGGCATTGAATGTTTGCCATATATGTGTACATTGTAATCCGCCCTGAATCACCTGCAGGGTGAGAAGGGCAGAATATAAATACTGTAAATAAATAAATAAATAAATAAATAAAATATTATTTTTTTTAAAAAAATCTAGAAGTTATACACAGATTAAACAGGACTTTGTTTATGTTAAGCCACTTATTCCAATGTGGCTAGGCCTTTTAATAGGGACAAATGGCAGGAGATACTAATATTCATTAATAGAGTGCAGATTTATGCTTAAAGAAAGAGCTGTCAACATTCAGATACCTCCATTTAATGCCAAAGCTATCAGCAGCATTCTGAAAGTTGCCTCTCTGTCTATTTTCTTCAGGAGTTTCTTCCTGGAAAAAATAAGGTTACCAGTATAAATCTTCTGGCATGGGTATCGTAATACATGTTCCCTAATCGTAATACAGTAAGTATATAAATTAATGAGGTCTAAATAAAAATTTTACACAAACTAATGCATTCTAATTAATTGAAACAAGACACTAAAATAATTAAAAAATCAAAATTTTTAATTCTATTTTCAAATATAAAACACCAAGAACTGTTATGGAAAAGCATAAAGAAGCAATGTGCTTCATAATCCCAAAGAATGCAAACTGGTTGTGAATCTGGCAGCCAGGGCCTGTCACCACCTAGCTGTTGCCCTAAACAGGGACTTGAGAATTCACTTTTTTGTATCTTTGAAGGGTCCTGTAAGTAATCCACTGCACTGAAAGCCTTTTTAAAAATTTAAAATACGGACTATATCTATAAGCCAAACTACCTCTTTATACCTATATACTACTCACCCACAGTTGCTTACCAAGTCTCCCACTTCACGGTTACCTCCGTGACTATTCTCCTGATTTGATTCTCTATCTCCATAAAAACACAGAAGATCGAGAAGTCTGTTTGAGGTCTCCAAGGATATGGGGGTTCCTGCAAATGAAAAATAGATGGACTTGTTAATTCCTTGGTGTTTTTGAGCTAAACATTGCCTTAACCAAATATATTATGAGCTGATCTTTAAGCTCCAAGATGAAGAAGTGGTTGTACGTTCTCAAATGTGCCATTATCAAATGATAAACATGTGTCTTTTTAACCACACTATCATCTAAACCCTATTGCAGTTTCAACAAGAGTAGACCCATTGAATCAAAGGGATTTTCAGAAGCAATGACTCACAATTGAACAATAAATTCAATAGGTGTGATTTTTAATTAGGCTCACTAATAGGATTTCTATTCAACCACCTAGAAAAAATGCCTAAAGTGATGCCAAATGTGCAGACAGCATCTTGTGGATAAAATTATCATATGAAAGAAGGACTGCTATGAAATATACTACTGCCCAGTTTAGCTAGGACTGACACTTCCTCTTCCTCAAACCTCAATGATGCTCTTTTTAGAAAATACCAATATGTTAACAGCTTGGATTCAATAGCTGGTGCAAAGTCAGCGTACCTACAGAATGCTGGGCACCTACTAACCAGGGATTTAAAAGATTACAGCTTTAGATTGATACCTGCTTGCAGAAGTTGATCATACATGTCTACAGAAGCTTTTACTTTTTTGAAGTGGATTCGATTTTTAAGTGTATCCTCACTCACGTCTTCAAGCTGAGGTGCCAACTCCTCTGGCATGAAACTCTAAAACAAAAGAGAAAGAAGACAGTTCTTATTACATCACCTAAAGAGAGAGAGAAATGCTAGTGTTCCCTTCAAGTCTTTGAGTTAGTGCAAACCTGCAACACATTCCCTCCTATAAAAGTGTCTTCTAAAAATTTATTTATTTATTTATTTACTATTCTTGTATACCGCTGTATCTCAAGCCCGAGGGCGACTCACAGCGGTTTCCAGAAAGCAAACAACAAAGCCAGTAAAAACAGCGGTAATCAATATATCATAACAATTAAACTACACAATTCCATTTCTAACAATAAACAAACATCAATACACAGTTATCACAAAAAACCCACCCCGGATCGCCTCATCATCCAAACGTGATCCAAATTCGTCGTCCATTGTTCCTTTCCTATGTTCAATTTACCAGAGATTGCACTGAATTACTCAAACGCCTGCACAAACATCCAGGTCTTCAACTTTCTACGGAATGACATGAGAGATGGTGCCAGCCTAACATCTACAGGAAGGGCGTTCCACAGCCGAGGAGCCACCACCGAGAAGCATAATTATGAATGCCCTTCTGGTGCTCTTCTGTCCTTGTGATCCCTTGTCAGTTTTTTTTATTGCAGACTAAAGCCACAAAAGCAGACGCAATATATCAATGGAACAAACATAGCTTACAAGTTCCTATTTATTTTGACTTACAAGTTCCTATTTATTTTATGATCATGATCTGCTAATTGAATCTGGGCTTAATTCAGTGATTCACACAGGTAATAAGGCCTCTAAATGCCATCAGCAGAACTGGCTCTCCTAGACATTTTTCAAAGAGGCCAAAATAAAAATTAAGATTGCTGATTGTAAAGGACTTCTTACCTTAAGCAGTTAGATTGTGGGCCTGGCGAAGCCCTAGCGGCCATCTTAGGATAGGGAAACAAGGAGACGCCATCTTAACCTATAGGTTTTCTAGAGGGGGCATGTCCTACTCCAGGAAGCAGAGATTAGATGGCCAGGATTGGTTAGAAAATAGGGGTCGGAGCCTAGCGTTCAAAAAGGGAAAAAAATGTACCTTTTGAACTGAGGCCTGAGTTGGCAGTTGGAAATTGGCTGTTGGGAGTTTGTCAGTTGGTGATAACAGTTGGTTGGTGTTAGATAGGAGAGCTGGGTTAATCTTTTGTGGTATTCAAGAGCTATAGAAATAGATAGCAAGAATACAGATAGTGGAACAGGACCTTGTTTGTGATCTGTTCTTTGTCCCAGAGGAAGGCTAGGCCAAAGGCTATTGGCTAGATTCCAGAAAGGGGGAATTTTGTTTGGAATTATTATCAGCAATTAATTTCCTGAGATAATCTTCTGTTTTGTTAATATGAAGATTTGAACCCAGAACCCACCTAAGAACTGTACACCAAACGTAACCAGAAGCTTATGTACCAGTAACTTATGGAAACCACTACGCATTTGTACGAGAATAAGTTTAAGCCTGTTAAATAAATGTTTATAACACTCTCGGTGTGAACATCATTGTGATTTAAACCCTCTAAAGGAAACAAACACTATTGTAACACAAAAGGCTGTTACTAAGTATACTCTCCACATACAACTCAGCCTGATGACCAAACAAAAAGGTGGCAGCGAAAACAATTGAAGAAACAGTTCCCAAACTCTCCAGTTCAGGCTTAATTCAAATATATATCAAATTGCCTCTTTCCTGTTTTGAAAATCCCCCTGCACCGATATAATTTGGTTGGCATCTTGTGGGGTTCACTATTTTAAAATTCCCTGCTAAGTTCCTTATAATTAGTGACAATCGGCTGGTATAGTTCCCCCCAGGTTCCTCATAATTGGTGGTACAGCAGTGTGATATCCTCATACTGATATACCCATTCGTACTTGAATTCTCATTTCTAGAGATTGGCTACTTACGAGCCTTTGCCAGAGGCATTGTTTTAATCTTGAAGGAAACTTGCAAATGTCATCACTGTCTCATTCAGTCAGAGAACAGTTGGCTCTCTACATTTGCAGATTTGATTCTTCTGAGTGAGATTATTCAGATATCATTAAATATTCTCTCTAGAAATCTGTAGGCCCTTCAACGTAACCCTGTGGTCAACTTCTGATGGAAACTGATCACAAAGTCCTACTACCAGATCTAGAAATTCCTAGAGATTGTCACAATGGAGGACCTAGAGATGTCTTCTCCCAGGTTTTTAAAAAATATTTTATTATTTGCATTTTTTTCACTTTTATGAGACTGCTGTGACTCCCAACCCAAAATATCACCCACCAGTTATAAGAAACATAAAAATGTTTGTCTGATCAGGGCTTATTTGAACTGAGACGAGTTCAGTACTTTTTAAAAAAAATCTGTTCAAAGCAAAGTATTAACTTTGCTAAATTATTTTGTGATCTAGGCACCCCCCACCCAAATGACAAAACTGAATGAATATAAAATAAAAAGACAAAGAGATTACCGGTATATGAGGTTCAGCAATGTCCTTCTTGAAATATTTAGGATGTGTGTTAACGACATATTTGGCTGCATTTTTCCCAGATTCTTTTGACAAGGAAAATAAACGCTGTAAAAATAAAACATTACTTAAGAACTCAGAGGGAAACCATATCTTTCAAGCTTTCTTATCGATAATTCTAGTATTATTAAATCAGGTCTTCTCTTGGAAGTTTGCATAAGCATCAGCCTTGATATTGCTCCAATAACTTGTATTTTCCCAATAATACACCTGTACTTTCTAGCATACAATTCTTTCTATCATACAATTCTTGTTTTATGCCACTCTTAACACAGCATATGACATGGAAAGGCATGATACAATTCTCTCCAATTAATAGAGACCTATTATTTCAGCAAAATCAAAAAGGCCCTTTTCGAATCTCTAGAGATTGCCTTTCAAACAGGAGTCAGTGATAAAATAAGCCTAAATGAGAGAAGGAAATAGGTTTTAATGGAAATAATGGAGAAGTGGATTGTAGGGTAGATTTAAAGAGCTAGCAGGATATTACAAAGAGTTCCTTTCTTCTATAACTTAAAAGCAACAAATCTTGAGAGTATTTTACAAGCACCTGAAATATGATACTCTGTCATGAGATGCAATTCCTGGGCAAATAAATAGGATAAATCGAACTTGTGCTTCAATTCATAGACTATAGGTTGCACGTTTTGCTTTATAAAGTATCGTGGTTGGCCACAGGAAAGGAGATTACAAAGTGGCCCTGCAGTGATAGCCAAGTTGAACACACAAATCACTTCTCATCCCTCTGCTAAGTTCCAATTGTTGGGTAACAGGAAAAAGCACATTTACTGCAATTTACCCGTCACTGGTGTTTTCCCTGCAGAGAAATGTACTTATGAATACAGGCCAACTTTCCAAACAGTTTGTTTACTTGTGGAAAGATCAATTTTAAAGATATTACTTACAAACTCAGAACTAGTTCTAGGAATAAGATATGGGTCATCTTGAAATATATAGGGTGCAGCTGTAGTATCCTGGAATAAAAAAAAGCAGAACACTTATAGGTGTTATATAGAACAGGACTTCTCAGGCTCTTTCAACACTTCCCTATATCCCAGGATC